CAGACCCAAACATAAAAACATATTTATGTGATTTCTGCATCACCAACTAAATACACATCGGGTTCCCATGACAACGCAATGTACACCGGACGTCACTGTAACTACACGGCTTCACACAGAATCTGCATCGCTCATAAAGAATCATCAGGAAACGATTTGATTAAAGGCACACCCTTCTTCCAGTTGATTTAAATCCTAAACTCTGAACATAACCTGCTCCCGCTCCCTGCTCCTGAGTTGCCATGGAGATCTATCCAGGTAAAAAGGGAGCCACCTTCATGACACTGAAAACTCTGACTTTAGGCTCCAGATACCTCGCTAACCCACTTATCTTGCTTTGTAGTACAGCCCTCTGCTCTGTCTTGTCTTTGCAGAAGTTTAGACTCCAGCAACCCCAGATTCAAGAATTATTGTTCATCTTCATACAGCATCTACTGAGAGAATGAAAAGCCATAGCAAGAGTAAGTGAGGGGGCTGGGCCTCAGAACAGCCATGAAATGGACAGTTTTGTTCAAACTTTCTGTGATTCTTATTTGTAAAAAGAAAAAGCTATGAAACTTATGAGCTGCCTTGGGCGTTACTTTCTTGTAACAGTTTTGTTGGTGATTCACTGATAAATAATTCATTTTTTTTATTACATCTGATGCAGAGTGTTGGAAAATTGCCCCGTGTCTTGAGTCCATTTTGTGTCTCACTGTGTCTGCAATTTTCACATTACAGCACTCCAAGCCAGAGCAAGCCCAACAAAACACACCGTAAAAAAAAAAAAAGTAAGATGGAGGACGTTCAATTAAAGAACAAACCTAATTTCCTCTGGTGAACAGTCTTACTTTATATGTATGCAAATAAACGCAGTCTCATTATCTCAATTGTTTACAATAAAATTCTTTCCCTTTAAAGCACACAGTGGAACTACTTGTGGGCAGAATGTAAGTAAGTACCTTGTTGATTTGGCTCTCTGGTCTTATTTACAGACATTTAAGGCTTGTTGACTGTCGTCCTTTGTGGCGAGACGTGTAATGTTTCGTGTTCATTTGCTGCGAGCGGAGCGGCTGACGGCATCAGTCGACTGGTATTGCTGCAGAGACTCCTGAGATGCCAGTGCTAACAATAACATCGTCAATACCCACTCTGGGAGGTGAAACAGCATGGTGGTAACAGTGAGGGAGAAGGATTGAAAAGAGGAGTGGGAGGAGACCAAAGGAGTGAAGGAGGAAGAGGGGAGGAGAGTTTAGAGCATGTAAATGACTGATTGGAAAGTTTCCGCTTTGTTCCAATCTCCCATCACCCTGTTCTCTCCCTCCGTCCCTCCCCTCCAGTCATCTATTCCATCATTTTGTCTGTTCTCCGCTTGTGTTTCTCCAGAGAGAAAGTGTGTGTGTGTGTCTGTGCGTGTGTGTACGTGTGTGTGTTTGTGTTAAGTCGGGTTTAGTCCCGCAAGGAGCCAATTAAAACGCAGACTTGGCCATGAGCATGAGAGCCAGAACTTGGGAGTGTGTGTTTAAATTTATGTTTGTGTGCGTTGTCATTGTGTGTGTATGTGTTTTCTCAGCGCACTCGTCTCCTCGCTCTCACCAGAAAACAAAAACAACAGCTGTGAAAGAAATAATACCTGGAGGAAATGGTAGGGAAAAATTGCCAATCATGCAGACACAAACACACACACACATATACAGTACGTACATACCCACCTTGTCGTGATGTGCATCGAGATACTCCCTCACAGTTGCTAGCGCCTCGTGCACAGCCTGCTCAGGTGGATATCCTACACCAACAAACAAGCACACACACACACACACACAACATCAAGAATATGCACACACTTCACAAGAACAGGTGCAATGACAGATCTGTGTGTTTGCGTTAGGTTGTCGTCCGCTGTGTTTTTTTTTCCCAGACAGGTATCTGCTCTTCTTTCCACTATTCTAACACTCAGTGTTGTGTGTTTTCTCACTTTGTCTCATCCCAACTGGCTTATCCCAGCGAGCTAGACACAACACACTTGTTGGTTGCGAGGAGACAGATGGAGAAAGACTACAGTGCTTCTTCCACATTCATCCAGTAGCCGAGACCTTTCACTGCTGGAAAATTATCCCCACCGCTGGATACAGCCACAAAGGCAATGAGAATTCATCACCTGGCCAAACCGCTCAGCTCCAAACAAACACATACTGTGTGATTATGGAGTAATTATTCCATACATCTGGAGAGGACTCGGCATGTTAACATAGGAGAATACATGAGGGGAGAAACTGGCACTGACACACTGATTGTTTGGGCATCAAAGCAAACAAATGCAGTATTCACACTGCAAATGACGGCCCTGCTATGGTTTGTTATATAATTTTTTTTTTTTTACTACTTGATGGGGAAAGTTTGCCTTTCAATGACTTACAATTAAGGTAAGTAGTCTTAGTTTATCTAATGACTACTTACACAGGTATTTTCCCCTCATGTGCCTATTCTCAGCCCTCTGTGGCACAAGACTCTCTCTTTAAGCAGAATAATCAGCCCTGCTTCATAACTATTAGAGCACATTCATAACTACGGTATACTGAAAAATGCCAATAGGCTGTATTAAAGGAAAGGATGTAACCACTGAGATGTCACCCATTGGTTTGTGGACAATAGTTTTGAAGCCTTGAGTTTAGGATTTTTGTTGGGGGCATCTTAATTTTTTGCACAGAAGTCAACATATTTAGACAACCCAAGAGCACTGCACACCCAGACAACTTGTCAAACACAAGTTAGCCACATCCTCAAGCATACCCTGCTTTCTTGCCCTATTTTACTCTAAAAGGGTCCATAATTTACAAAAATCCCACCATGCTATGTTAAAGGAGAGTTGAAACCAGCGGTTTATACCATAAACTCATTTGGAAAATGTTTATTGAGGTAATAAATCAAGTGAGAAGTCGGCTCATTTTCTCATAGATTTCTACACTCAAGCCTTCTTTTTCGAGCCGGAGGACTCGCCCTCTGCCAGCCAATGGAAAGAATGCAGGTTTCGGGCACTTAGGCTTTGGCTTCACTTTTCAGACTCAGGGGTTACATCCACCTTATATGTACAGTCTATGGCTAACACTTGATGAAACAGAAGAACATTCACTGTTATCATATTTCATTTGTTCACACTTGACAATGAAAATATGAAGATGTTTTCCACTGCAGGAATTAACAGGGCACTTAAAGGCCCACAACTTTGTACGTTCCATTAGACTTATTCAAGCCACCCGGTAAAAACTACTGGATTTTTTTTGTATATTGCAGTTTATAAGACAGAAAAACTAAATATCCTATTGTCAGCTTCATCCAATATCATGCAGCCCTTTGAACATTTTTTTATTTCTGCGTTTAGGCAACTCAGATGTCTTGGTTAACGTTACAGAAAGATCATGGTTGTGGTTAAATACTAAAAAAACTGAATGACTTGAGGCACAGCAAGGGACATGTTTCTTGTTCAGTTATTTAATCAAAACCACAATCTACCCACAGCCTTCACTGAAGGGTTTATAGAAACTGATACCCATAGATGTGAACTGTGGTCTCGGGGGTCAAAATCCTGCACTTTGTACACCCATTATCCATCCCAACCACCTACTTCAACTCCTGTGTGGTCAAAAACAACTGAAATTCCCTGGAGTGGATAAAAATGTTGCTAATGGATATAATCAAGGCAGCAATTATGTTTCCTCCAAAATGTCCTTGCTAAGGTCTAATCAGCCACAATGACTGAAAACACCAGTGGGGAGTAAAGAGCAGCAGCAATGTTGCTATGTTGCCCCACCATATATGTCTCAGGTATACATCTTCTGTAGCATTGTTCAAAAACTACCACTGTGACTGGCTGGCAGTCATGTTGGCATTACCCCTACATCATTTTTCAACCTCATCACATTACAAAGAGGGTGGAACAGTGATGAGTAGCAGCTTCATCCTTTAACTGCAGCTAAGTCACAGCTTTAAATGAAAAACCAAAGAAAAATCCTTTTCCTTTGCTCTTTAGAAATGAAACAAGATTATAAAAAAAAGAAGCTGTTGGTGTTTTTTTTTTGTTTCAAACATTTTCTCTTTGAACGTACTCTGCAAGTATTCTTCATAAGACAATGAGCAAAGTAGATTTGCTTTCTTTCTTTCTTTCTTTCTACTCAACTGTAGCTGTCTGTAGAGGCAGAAAGCTGCTTATATCTCGTAAAATTATGTAACCTTTTGTTGCTCTCCAAACACCCTGACCTACAAAACACTCAGGAGGAAAGAGATAGGAAGATGATGAGAAACGGGTGCAACCAAGAGGAAGACACAAATAACAAACGGAGTCAATCGGGACTTTGGCCTTTTCCTCTTTCTAGCAATGGGAGAGAAGTGTTGACAAGAGGCCTTCACACCAGAGCCACCCCGGGGGTGTGTTTAAGCACTATCCTTAACTCTCTCTCCTGCTAGTGTAAAGGGGATTACAGGCAATCTGACACAATCTCCGGCCTAATCTATCTTAATCTGCCGGTCATAATCCAAGGCGTTAATCTGAGAACCACCTCTGGGCTGGAGGAGATAATGTGACAAGTGGCACCGGGTGGCTCAGCACTCTGGTTTGAACAGACAGACTGGAAGCAAGCATGCGATAGAGAGCACATTCAGTCTGTTAAACATATGGACACAGGCACACACAGATTACTGTTGCTGTCAAGTATACTATGAAAATTGATAACTCTCACACACGCGACTCAGTGGATGAACATGTCATGCATTTGCTCTGCTTTGAGGCAGAGACACATAAACACAGACACTAACCGTAGATTCCAGTGGAGATGCAAGGGAAAGCCTGCAGAGAAAGGATGACAAACATAGTGGTTACAGTCTGCTGTTGATCACATAAGAGCATACTTTCATCACACACGCATCTGCACATCTAACTCTGCGAGGACACTCACCCGGTTTGAATGATTGGGGAAAATTATCCAACTACAATTTATCTGGAAGGCTTTGCTATGTGATATTCAAAATTATTTTCGAGCGTCAAGCTTCAGTTTAATATTCACTGTGTAATAGATTTAAAAAATGTGATGGAGCATTGCCACATGAGATACCATCAAAAGCGCGACAGTTACTGACGAGGAGAGCAGCATAAATTTGTAAAACCACTGACACTACAGCTTAAACCCTGGCTCAGACGTGCTGCATAATGTATGTCCTTAATTGCAAACCTCTGCTTTTCCCTAATTGCATTGTTTCAAATTGTGATTTTGAAGTGGTTTTGTTGTTCAGCCCTCACAGACACGACCATAATACATTCCCTTGTTCCTTTCCCTCAACCGTAGCTCAAACCTGAAGTTAACCTTAGCTGTAAATCCAGCACCTTTGAGAGCACGTCAGAAAGTTAGGATTTTAACTTTCCTCAAACAAACTCACTCTCAATGTCTAAAACCCAAACTGGTTCTCACACAGACAGTCATATACAAGTACACACACACACACGCACACACACACACACACACACACACACACACACACACACACACCACAGAAATCACTCTCTCAGCTGGATCTCTATGGAGTCCATTCTGATTGTTTTTTATGGCAGCCTTTTTTCACCCTCTGACTTCCACATCTATTTAAAGTTGTTGATCAGGCACAGAAACACTTCCTTTGTCATCCACAGAAGAGCAAGCAGCGCTAACCAGACGTAACTATAACAATCATGAAAGTTGTATGGAGACCGTCACTGTGGAAGATATCTTTCATTTATTTTTTTTATGAGATTAAAGTTAGAATCTATAACACTTTAATGTAACTGATGTAGTAACAAGTGTGTTTCACTAAAACGGGTCACAGAGGACTGAAGATGATGCATACATCTGAAGAACAACTTGGGTGTAATAAAGTCAAACAAACTGTGGGCTGCGAAGATGAATGGGTCCTGTTGGTTTAATAAAGATAATTGACATTTTTCGTCATGCTGTGAGCGACCAAGGTACTTGTCCAAACAACAAGACAAGCAGGTAAAAGAAAGGTATAGGAACACAGATAAATCCAGCTGTTTCCACTGGCAACACGTACAAGGAGTTCTAATTCTGACATCTGAAACTCTTTGTCTAACAACTCACGGTGGCTTTCTCACAGTAAAGGTTACTCATGTTCTAGCAGTTGAATGCGTTTAAAAAGACAGTTGTTGTTTTTTCTTTCTTCAGACTGTTATCTCAGAGGTGAAGATGTGGACCACGAAGCACAACATCCTCACTTTGAGTTCTTTGATTTCATCTCTCTCACCTGTCATCTCTCTACTCTTGCTATATAAAACAGATCTTTACAGTCCTTGCCTGCCTTTGTGTACGTTAAAAGCACTGCTGATCCCTCAAATTGTTCTTCCTGTTCATTCTGTCTGCAAAGAGATGGATGATTTAAGCAATTTCATTATTTCCAGGTCACACAAACCTCATGTGAGGGTTCGGCCCTTTTTAGCACCAAATTTCCTCTTTTTTTCTTTTCTTTCTTTTTACAACCCCCCAATTTCACCTCAGCAAGGAACCAGTCATGAAACACAAAGAGATAACTTCATACTAAAAGATTGTAAATTTTTTTTAACCCAGTCTATTAATAGCTTCAGCTGAACTTTAGAGATCATCTTTGTGCAGAATAAGGACAGTGGATTTTGTTCCAAATATCACGAACATTGCAGCTGATTTGGCAACTATTGCTTTACAACCAGTGTGAACAGCAGGAACGACTACAAAAGACTAACAATTTTTTCAACGTACACATGAGTGTTGGAGTGTTGTTTTAGATTTCAAAAGAATGTGAACCTGTTTTTTAGTCTGAAGCAGCAGCAGCAGCAGCTGAAGGTACCAGATGTGCTTGGCCTGCGTGATGCTGTGGTCTCTAACAAGTCACCTTTGGTTACCATGAGAGGCAAACACCGGTAGAGGCCTACATACATACAAACTGTCCAACTCCTTCCTATGTGTGCCAGCAGAGCCAGCTGATATTACAATCTAAACTAACGTCAGTAACGTGGTTTAGTAGAAAAACAGTGTTAGAAAACTGTATTGGGAGACACCTGGCATGATATTCCAGGGCTGGACACTTAAATTAGGTTTTCTCTGTCAAGACAGGACAAAGCTTTGCAGCACTTTTGCCTCATTGAACTGGACTGAAACAGTGAAATTGTTGTTGTAAAATGACAGTAATAATAATAATAATAAATACAATGGTTCTCATGTAAAAATTCTGTCTAGATTAAACATATCAAACATATACATACATGTATGAATATATGAACAGTGAACCTGAAATAATTACATGTAAAATTGCACATTTACATTTTATCTTGATCTCTTACACGACACAAATAATTGCACAATCAAATTTACTCAATTCAACAGTAGCCTGCAGCGTAAACACAGTATCCGTATACTTTCTGATATTCAGCCAGTCAAAATTTGTGACTTTATCTGTAAATGCAGGATCTTGAGCCAATCTGGTGCTTACATCGGGAATGTTCTGTTTGTATTATCAGTAAGGTATTGGGGCTGTCAAACATCACAACACAACAGCACTGCTGCGCTAAGAAAATCCTATATTTCCGCTGCCTTGTGCAGCACTACGATGCTTTGTCACTGTGTTGAGCAGTCAAAGCCTAATTAGTTTAACTTTGATCACTGTATGTTGTGAGCCCAATATAAAGAAGGCATCCAGCCAGGAACGTGAGGCAAAGTGGAAGAAAGGCTGATATTGCATGTGTCTTGATTCTCAGAGTTATACAACACAAATTAGTGTTTTTATCAGGAAGTCAGGGTGAAAGCCCAATCTGTGTTTCACAGTCAGGTGGCAATATGTGTGAACAAAGCTGAGATTCCCCCAAAATAACTCTGCACACCTTAAAGTTAAAGGCCCCTATCTCAGAAAATGAAGTAGAGAGGTATACTGGTAGATTAAATGCTGAATGGTTCAGTCATGTAGTCCTGCTAAAAGGGTTTAAAAATTTCACCTACCGGTATTCACCACCAACTCCTTCAAACGGTGCTCTGAACACCGTGGTGAGCACTGTGCATATCACGTTGTATCTTAAAGTCTCATAAGACACCCCTGATAGGTATGTAGGAGAGGCAACAGGGAAGTAGCAGCTTCTATCGAGAAGGTTAAATTACAAAGAGTAACATTTAAGTACGTTTGCATTGTTTCCTGTAAGTTTCCTGCCAGTGACCACTGTAGATCCTTCAGAACTGGCTCAGTAAAGGCAGACTAAACCACAGACTGCATACAGTCAATGGACCACACCAATAATAATGGAAACAGAGAGCCCATTGTAGAATATATAGTTACCACACTCACTGGCTTAATAGTAGCAAAATAGGGATTTACATGATAAAAACCCAAAGGATTAAGATTCATGTTTGGCAAGTTTGTGCACCACCGCTGCTCTTGTTTGAGTCAAGCAACCAGTAAACTTAAAATCTGGCAGATTCTCAAACTGCTGTCAAATACGGCAGTATGAGCAGATGCCAGGATGCTCCCTGTGTCTCCAGATCTGTTCGTTTAACCTGACCGCAGCGCTTGAAGCTTGAAATCGAGGGCAGATGTTACTCACAAGTTTCTCGATACCAAAGACGAACATACAACTTGAAATTTTTGGGCAGAAGCTGCAATAAATGCTGTAACTTTTTGTACGTGTAAAAAAAAAAAAAAAAAAAAAAAGGTTTGACTGATCCATTTTTACGTCTGTTTCAAATTCTTGTCTTGAGAAGTGAAACTATAAATGCACTGCATTGCACCTGTCCTCTTCGACTGCCCCTCCGACTTTATTTTCATGTTGCTGGGGTGTTTTTTTTCTGACTTTGACACTTCGTTCTCTGTGAAACCTCCTGCCTGGTGTGTTTCATAAAACCTTCTTACAACTCGACACTCCTACCTCTTTTTAGCCTTCCTCCATCAATCTCAGCTTGAATGTAGTTTTCTTTGAAAAAGCCATGTGTGATCAATCTTCTCCCTTTAGCTCAGGTTTCTTTTTTAGCTATAGAATCTTGTCACAGTCAGGACTGCACTACTTCTTCCGTTTTCTTCTTTCCTCTTATCCATGCCTCTTTTCTCTCTTTTTCTTTGTTGCTCACCTTTTCCTTTTTGTCTGTTACAGTCTTCAGTGATTCTGTCTTTATCTTCTCTTTTTACCCTGACCTCTTAAATTGCTGTACTCTTTTGTCCCCTTCCTTCCTTCTTTCCTCTCTCCTCTCCCTCCCTGTTTGTCCCCCGCTGCCATTATTCCTTCAGATTTATCTCGTCCCTCCGTTCTCACCACGGAACGTGCAGCGTTTTCAGTTGCAGTTTTCAGGCTGTTCATGTAGCAGGACCTGAGTGCTTTCCTCTCCGTCTCTCCAACTCCTCCCTGTGCAATCGGTCCCACCGTGTGAATGACATCTGCAGAGATACAAAGAGAGACAAGAAAAAGCAATCAGTTACACAGTGTGAGAAGTATGAAGCTACAGTAAAATATAACTGAAATACAACAATCCCCCTGGAACAATTCTCATGACATTAAACTTTACTGTTGACATACAAAATACTTATAAATATGTTTTAAATCCCCTCACAGAAGTTCTGCAGTCGCTTCACTTATCTCATCACAAACAAAGCGAGTGTCATCCTGGAGATCAGCTGAATGTAAGAGCAGGGCTGCCACTAGCAACTATCTCACCGATTAGTTTCCCCCCCAAAAAACAAATGGCTATATCGTTTAAGTTCATTTTATTTTGAGAAATTGTATGTCAACACATGATTTATCACAGTAGGAAATGTAAACAAAGCTTTACATATTCAAGTGCAAAACTTTAATTTGAACTGGCAACTCCAATTTGACAAAAATATTTTAAAAGAGGACTCATTATTAAAGTCAGTAGAGCAAGTCTAAAAGAAAACCAAGTTTCGATTAAATCCCTCAATAAGCAAGTTTATATTTACATCGACAGAGCAGGGAAAGCAGCTCTGTTTTTCCTTATTGTGTAACTGTTCTCTGACTTTAATAGTCACTTCAAATTCTATGAAAACGTAGATAAATTCACAGCACAGCTGTTGTCAGGACTTCAGCAGTTCACAGCAGCAGCTTGGAAGCGACTGCTGGTCAACATGTAGCGTTAACGGACCACATTTCAGTCTCTATGTCACACTCGTTCTGCAGCAGAAACAGATATGTACACGAGAACAGCTTTATTGTGAATTTGGCTGTACTAAAATACATGACATGCAAGTTCAAAAGCAAGAGAGAAGCAAACCAAACTGTTCTGCTACTGGGATAATTTCAAATACTACCATACTTTTGAAGCCTTTTACACTGTAAACTATAACGCTGGCTACAGTAGACCAATGCTGGAGTCAAAATTACACATATTGAGGAAAAGAAAATATTAAAAAACAAACAAAAAAAAAACATTTGCTGGTTAAAAATATTACAGCTGATGGATGTTCAGCATCGATGTCATTGATTATACTGACTAATTGTGGCCACTCTGTTAAAGAGCATTCCCCACACATTCGATCCTCTCAAAGCCTCACCAGAGCACAAAGTTATCCCATTCACCACCTCTAAAACATTTAGTTTTTTTCATGCTTGATTACGAATGCAATAAGTCGATTTCAGAGTGTAGCTGGAGTCTTGGCTGAAACAGATGCAGACGTGTGAAAAATCTTTTTGTTTTAATGGGTTCATGTCACATCGGGGTAATCATAAACAACATTCACGTCAGCATCCAAGTCATAAAAAGGGAGAAGTTGGAATTTTCTCAACGGTCATATATATCTAGCAAACAGCAAACATTAAACAAAGTCCCTTTTTAAATGTTGTAAAACTCAAATTTAGTGGATGATATGTTATATTGCTACGACACAATATTTTAAACAATCACATCCCTAATTCTGCAGTTGTCAGGTCATAACTATAGGAATCGTTCACATCTGTCTAACATGACAAGACATGAAGGGTTTGTGCAGGAGGAGAGTCGGGGTCACAACTAATGTTAGACACTCGGACAGCTACGGTGGACATGATGAATCATCCACAGACGATCATTGACAGTTCCTTGTTTTGGATTGTGAAACACGTTTGAAATTTTCCATCTATCTTTTTACTCATGAAAAGGTATCTAAATAAATAAAAAAAAAACAGGGGGCAGGGTGAGAAGATTACCAGTGGTGCAGCTCAGTCCTGCTGCTACAGATGAATACTGCATCTTTATACCGGTTCATGTATATGTGCAGGATTGGACTAATTGATGCAATTAGCTGCAACACCTGTTATTTGTTAGCTGTTGTTTCCTGACTTCAAACTGCTTCTATTGATGTGCTGTAAGTAAAAGTGAAAGCTTGAGACTGGAACGCTGCTTGTCACCGTATAACAAGTGTGTCTGTACTCTTATATATGTTAAATATCAGGCTCTGTGCAGATGAGTCAAACGTCTTCACCTCAGTTCAGAGAAAGAGAATACACTTGTGAAGGCAAACAACAACATCCTTACATTAACACTGAAGGCAAAGTTTTTTTGTGTTGTCACTCCATGTTTTTCCAATAAATTCAAACAGTAACACTTTACCACTGCCTTGTTTTCACATCGTTATCTATTGTCATTTGAGTAAAATCTAAGCTGTCGGCAGCCATGCATAGGTCGGGAATTAGATGACAGATGACATGCGCTCAGTTCTTAGTAAACTGTTCTTCTTGCTACCCACAAACACAGTGTGCTAATAGCGTTTTAGGTTTCACTGTGGAGCTGGAAAGACAAAAAGTCACTGTTGTTACCAGACTCAATGCTTCCTCCAAATCATTTAAGAATAGAAACATACTGGCTGCTTTATTAGGTAATGCTCTAAAATGTAATGCAATTACAATCATAGATTGCATATAAAAGATGGATGTAGTCTCTTGGTTGGAAAAGTAAAGCCAATTCAAAAATGCCATAAACGTGTGCTCTTTCTAACAGTCAGCAGGGGGCAACTCCTCTGGTTGCAAAAAGAAGTCGGATTGCATAGAAGTCTATGAAAAAAAAAGTGACCCTGCTTCTCACTTGATTTGTTACCTCCGTTAACATTTTCCTGATGAGTTTATGGTCTCAATTCCCAGTTTTAAGACTTTTTGAATACAGCATGGTGATAATTTTGTAAAATATGGCTCCATTTAAAGTAAAACAGACAATAAAGCAGGATATGCTTTAGGGCATGGCTCCCTAGTATTTGACAGATCACTACCGCATCAGCATGCATAGTGTCCCCAAGTTCTCAGTCAGGTCCAACCTTCAAGGCATCAAAAACAGAAAACAAAAAACCAACAGGTGACGATGGCAACATCCATCTTTTATATAACAGCTTGAAGATAAACTCCAGAAATATGAAATCGTGCACACAGCAGTTTCAAGGTGGAACAAGTCAGCCGTGGCATTGACTGCCTATTCTGTTATGTGTCCTCCAGTACATAAAAAAAACATTAAAAAAACAAAACAACACCATACAGACATGTTAACAAGGTGAAAAACTTGATTTTGAAGAGAGCGGCCTTTAAATGTAATGCAACCCAGTACACCACCACCTCAATAATAAACATAAAGCAGAATCATTACCTCTCTGATGTCAAAAACAAAAGTATCTGGCAAATTGAATTAGATTTACAAGAACCTAATAAAATAGTAGTGAGTGCAGCACAGCTCAGCCTGGGTGTTTGTCATTGAATATAAAGACAATTGTGTCGTAATTAGACCATTTCCAGAACTGCACTTCTTTACATAATCGAAACTTAAGCAAAGCACTATAAAATTACATCTTTCTTTGTCTCTCAGCAAGCTCACAGAAGAAAACGGTCTTTTACTGTTCTAATTGCTATGTACAACATATTCCCATGTATTTTATTGTCATGTAGCTGTAGTGTACCATCTTTGTCAAGTTAATGACTGTGTTCTTTCCTCCCGGATCTCTGAAAAAACCCCATTAAAATTGGACTAATTAATTGAAGAAAAAAAAAAAAAGTGAAATAAACTGAATTGAAGGAGGGATGGGCACACAAACAGAAGCTGAGAAGAACAGAGAGGGTTGTAGTTGAGTTGTGGTTTAACCAGTCTCTGCACGCCTACGCCACCACACATTCTGATGAGGCTCAGCATGTTGCTCTCTGCAGGAGCCCAATGCTGTCATAAAACCTGCATGGACCGACTCTACAAACACACAGAAACTAACAAAAAAATCCAACTTAACAATACATTTATTCTTGTACTGAGACTTTTTTAGAATAGAATCGTATGGTGTAAAATAATCACAGTTGTTTTTTTCTCCACTACAGATTAAATTTCAGTCTAGAATCAAACGCCGTCTGTGACGCTCCTGGACTGATCTGCAGTCTGATCGGACTCTCAAACCTGTGTGATCCTCATAGAAGGGGCCAGATTTCAACCTCTATTTAAGACATGTTTTGTTATATGCTCACCAGTGTAACATATTTATGAGTAAAAGCCATTATTTGTGTTGTAGCCTGCTTGCAATCTGATACTGCATTCACTTCTAATCTTATCAGCTTAGAAGAACCCAAAGCATTAATGGAAAACTCTATCCAGCAAGTCTTTTGAATAACTTTATAGTAAACTGGTGTAACTGTTTGTGTACTACTTCACAGAGGTATGAACCAATAAAAATATATGTTGAAAGCATTGGAACAATTTCTGCACAACCATTTCTGATTTGCCTGAAACCGTTATAGTATAAAGTATCCATACGTATAAAGACATCTGTAAAATTTTAGCTTGAAATATCAAATATTTTCAGAGATAATTGTTTTTGTTTTTGTAAATTGCCGTCAACCCATTTTTCAAATGCTGAAATTAGGACAATGGGAAAAAATAAAGAAGTAAGAAAGTAAATAAATATCTCAGAAAGTACTTAATATATCAAACTACAGTTTGGCAAATACCATTTTAAATATCCATAGATAAGGATTTTTAAAAAGTTCCAAACAAACCAGAGATGGTCGAGCAGAAGGCTCCTGATGATTTGAATGAATAACCCTTATATGAGCTACAATGTGGCTCACAACTTCTGGTCTCTTTCTTTAGCTCATATTTGTTCATATTGTGCCAAACTGGAATAATAAAAAGCAGGCAGAATTAACTGTTAGCAGTTCTTTTTTTTGCAGTGTGCCTCTGGATCTACAGAAAACTGTCACTGGATTACTTCAATATTAAAGAAATTTCAAAAAACTTAATGATTCTCCAGCAGTTATAATGAAGGTGTGTGTGATTTCCAAGTGGATTCATGGACAGCTGCTTGCTACGAACATTACAGATAACGATATTGTCCCAAAGGGGTAAGTCAAAGATTTAACTGCTGCTTTGTTTTAATATATTCACCTCATTTTCAAAAGGTTCATAAAACAAACTGATTTGTACTGG